GAATCAGGCGCGTTGCTTCGCGTCAACACGCGCCGTGCCAGAGGAGGTGCGAGCCTTGAGTAAGAAGAGTCGCGTCCGTTGGCTAAGGGCGACAAGTCGGCTGGAGTCCTAAAAGCTGGAGGAACTGACCAAAGACAATAAAAATGACGTCAAGGCGGACCAAGATGTACGTTCCCCCTTAACGTCAGGGGCCTCAATGTTGACATCAAATTCCAACGGACGTTGGATGAACGACACGTGGACAGGAAGAGAAAAAGGGGGCCGACCCGAGTAGAGCTAGGGTAATGTTCCCGAGCTGTGTAAACCGACCTCGGAGGTCTTACTATGTCGAGATACCGACCTTACTGCATAGGTGATCTCAAAAATGGGCCGACGTCGGGACCGACAGACAGCATTAAATGCACGTCCATCAAGATAGCTGAGGGCCACGTGAGGACATCATTGCAAAGGGGGCCCACTTGCTGAAAAGGTGATGGGTCCATTCACACTGCATTAAATGCCGCCGCATCCCCCTCAAAAGACGAGCCCACAGTTACTATAAATAGCAGTATTAAACACAATACGAGGATATTTTTTCCGACACATTTAATTTCGCATTTATCACCTCGGTCTTGTAATATTCTGAGACACAATTGAACTATTGAAAACCGACCTCAAGTCCTGGAAACCGACTTGAGCCAATCTCGAATTATTCCACGCTTAACCAATAAACTCGTATTATTCCCACGCAAGTCGAAGAAATTAACCAATAAAAAAGGTTGTTCAAATCCGTTTATCAACGGTTTATCAATGTTGACATCAAATTCCAACGGACGTTGGATGAACGACACGTGGACAAGAAGAGAAAAAGGGGGCCGACCCGAGTAGAGCTAGGGTAATGTTCCCGAGCTGTGTAAACCGACCTCGGAGGCCTTACTATGTCGAGATACCGACCTTACTGCATAGGTGATCTCAAAAATGGGCCGACGTCGGGACCGACAGACAGCATTAAATGCACGTCCATCAAGATAGCTGAGGGCCACGTGAGGACATCATTGCAAAGGGGGCCCACTTGCTGAAAAGGTGCTAGGTCCTGTCACACTGCATTAAATGCCGCCGCATCCCCCTCAAAAGACGAGCCCACAGTTACTATAAATAGCAGTATTAAACACAATACGAGGATCTTTTTCCGACACATTTAATTTCGCATTTATCACCTCGGTCTTGTAATATTCTGAGACACAATTGAACTATTGAAAACCGACCTCAAGTCCTGGAAACCGACTTGAGCCAATCTCGAATTATTCCACGCTTAACCAATAAACTCGTATTATTCCCACGCAAGTCGAAGAAATTAACCAATAAAAAAGGTTGATCAAATCCGTTTATCAACACCTATCTTATGCGAGTACTGCTTCCCTCCGCATGTAGTCTCTCTGGCCGTGCGGCTACTGCTCTTTTTCCATGTAAATTAATTCCGCGTATGCATGAGTTTTTAAAGGATGCTTTTACACAAATCTTTTAAAAAAAAAAAATCTAAACATTTTTAACTGAACTATTTTTTTTAACTCAATTTTAACTCAATCCAACTATCATCACTATTATCAATATAGTAAAATAATATCAATCAATCATTCTTACACACCACATCAACTTTAATTCACTATTCATCCACTCACATAACTTTAACTAATCATCACTTTAAATCATTTTTCTCATACTTTTACATCATATCAATTTTAATTATTTTATTTTAAATATTATCTTAATATACCCGCTAACTATTAACCATACCACATCGTATCAAATCAAAAAATTTAAACAAATCAAATTTTTTTTTTACAATTCTCCCAATAATCACTTTTGCCAAATTCTACTCAGTCGTAGGGCCCGCCAAAACAATATCAATCCAAATTAATTGTCCAAATTCCTCCTTTCCTTCACGTGTTCCAACTTCGAAAATTCATTCTTGAATCAAAGTTGGGCTTTATTTTCATCCGGCCTACATCAATTTGATGCACTTTGGACTTTGACTAGTATTGCATTGGGCCCCTGATAACTGATTGCGTGAAAATATGTCCAATGTTTCGCGTCCACAAAATACTCTAAAATATTTGAAATAATACCAAAAAACATTAAAACAAATAATTTCATTCAAATAATAAATAAGTCAACAAATATAAACGTGCAAATATATTGAATATATAAAATATGTATATATTTCGACCTATCAACTCACGGCTCACCTCCATTCCGTCGAATCAAACGTAGCCTGGGATAGTGCTTTTGTAATCACTTGGTTATGGATATTGTAAAAAATGTGTATTTTGTGTAAATAATAATATTGACAATGGTTTTGTAATTTAAAAAGTACAACTTGCGTTCTAATTATCTTCATTTTGTATCATAGACAAACCTGAATTGATCCGTGTATATAATAGTCGTTAATTTAGTCAACTGTCAACCAGAAAGCACAACTCATTTGCCAAAAGATACTAATTGGACTGTCACATTAATATTCGATCTATATATTTATGATCTATATATTTATCACCGCATCACTATGGTTTAGCTGTACAATTTATAAAATAAAATAAATACATATTATTTATGACCATACTATAATAACATAAACACAAATTATTGCGTAAAACGGTCTAACAGTTATTAGTATTCAATCATATACATATGTACATATGCAAATGTGTGTAAGCCGGTCTAACAAATATTGCAAATAAAATATTATAAGCTATATGTATATAAATTATGTTTAAAAACAATTTATGAGACACTAAATAAATTGCCCAAAATGTAATGGATAATATAAGTCTTACAAATTTAATCGATCATGACTATTTAATTAGTTAAAAAAATATTAAAATTATTATTTTTATACCAATAGATTGCTTAATTGTAAGGGACTGGTTATTATTGAAGTATTAGCTTTTATATTATATGTTTGGCTTTATTAAACAAAACCGTGTTTTAGTGTTAACAACTCTAGTTATGTTTGTATAGGTATAAATACCCTCATTAGGGTTTCTGTACTTTACTTTTCGCATTTTTTCCTTCTCTCTTACTCTTTCATCTCTCTCTCAGAATGTTACTCTCTCTTTCAATCTTTCATCTGTAATTTCCCATCTGTAAACAATAATCTTTCAGTTCTTAGTGAAATGTTGATGTTCTTGTTCAATCTCTGATTCAATAGTTATGCCATTAAAATCTATTAGTTACTCGAAAAAAAATCATATAAATAAAAGTATAATATTAATTTTAAAATGAATAGCTTGAAGAAAAATTAGTTTGGCTATATTTTATTTCATCTTTCATAAAACCTTTTAATAGAACTTTATAGTTATTTAATATTCGTAGTATATGTTTTACGAAAAAATTGTTAAAAAAAATAAAAATATTGTTACCATTAGTTAATGCAAATGTAATAACAATTAGTTTTCATAGTTAGATTAAAATAAAATGAGCAAAAAGGTATTTGAAAGAATACTAGTACTCGATTATCTGCATATGCATTAATATAAATAAAGTATTACAAGTTATATTATATACTACACAATATCAAAATTATATGTAGACAACAATATCATCGATGCACATATGACATACTTCAATTCAAATCATTTTTATCGGTAGGTTTGTGTTAGATTATTATTAGACCGACATACTCGTTTAATAAATATCCATACTTTAATTACAAAATACCATACTTTAAAAGTTAAATTTATTTTATTCTTCAGAAAAAAAAGGAATCTTTTTACATAAAATATAGTATTTTTAATATATGAAAATAAAATTAATTAAGATCGTAAAACACGGTTTTCTTGACCCAATCTGCAGTGTAAAGTCAAAACCTGCGTATACGCATTTTAGAGTGGGATTTATACCGTAACAGCAACTTGTAATTAATCCCACACAAAAAACACTGACTTCGCCTTTTGTTTCGCTCCATTTGTCTAAAATTAATAATTATAATTAATTATTATTATTATTATCATTTATTTACAAGCATTAACTCTTCAACGATATTTTTCTTCTTTTTGAAAAAGTTTTTTTATTTGAAAAAATAAAAATAAATCACCTTTTCTATTTTTTTTTATTAAAATAAAAATAAGCAAGGCATGGACAACTTCAGTTACTTGCACGCTTTTCTTTCTACCTATGAACAAAACTTCAAGTACATGAAATTGTAAAAGAAAAATTAAGAGTAGCTTCCAAAACTACACTTTAATCCACTTGTTAATTAAACCAATTTTTTTGGTAATTTAATTGGTTTTCTTATAGGTAATTACAACTGTTAAACGAATAGAGCCGTCGATGAAATCGACTCTCATTTGATAAAAGAGCTTAGTTCGATCTCGATCAAGACTTGTTCGTATTATGCTTAAAAATATGAAATATGGATTTCTAACATAATTAGCTTCGGTAAGGCTAATTAATGAGTTAAGCTCAAATTTATTTATAGACTTGTTAAGTTGAAGATTCAGCTCAATAAAGTCTCCAGCCCGAGTCAGAGCATATTTTATCGACTCATTAACTTAATTGTTAGGCTCAATAAGGTCTAGTGTTCAAGCTCGAGTACCTGAAGCTCGAGCACGGATAGGCCATTGGTAGTTTACCAATGTTACACGTTTGCTCCTTGTTTGACGAAAACTAAAGCCCATGGCCATGGAAGAAACATATTCGATTTGTTTACTACTTTACCACTAAAATAAATTATGAAAAAACCTTTCTTCTCCACATCATTTTTTTTTTCTCTGCAAATCTTCCCATTTTATCTGAATTTTTAAACTCTTTATACAGATAAATCCACTCACAGAGAGACATATATGTGATGTTATTGTTTATGCGACTCATCACTTCTCACTCTTCTGACTTTTTCTCTCTCTCTCTGAAAACTTGTATGCAGCTGAATAGTATCTCTTTACATAGATAATCTCTTGGCCAAGAAATCGAGATCCTTTTTCCATTTTATTCATTAATTATTGAAAAGTTTTGAGCTTTTTCACATGGACGTTCCGAGTTCCGATGTTGCGGGTTTGGATTTCCCGTCGCCGGGCGGCGGAGGGGGCACCGGACGACTCATCCGGTCTCGCGCCATGCGGTTCCTAGAGTCGCCCATTGCGTCCCTAATCGAATATTCCGGCGTCGCCCGGTTGTTCCGGCCGGAGTACTCTTACTCCGAGGCCATCCCTCTTGTGCCCGAGAGCACCAGCTCCGGCGCGGATGCTCTAAACCCTGGGAGTGGAAATGGAGATTCCGGCAACGAAGGTGAGGTTTCGATTCGGATAATGGGGGAGGATGATGGAGGTGAGGGTGGAGATGCCGGCGTGGAGGGGGTCGGATTGGGTGCCGCCGGGTCGACGGTTGGGGCCGGCGATGTGAACGGGAATGGGGGAGGTGCTGACGGTGGCGGTAACAGTGAAGGGTCTTCGCACCAGAGGTTTGATATTCAGCAGGCGGCGATGTGGCTGGAGCAGATTCTTCCGTTTTCGCTGCTGTTGCTGATTGTTTTTATCAGGCAACACTTGCGAGGTACAGTTTTTATTTGTTTGGTGAGGAACTTTTCAATCATAGCTTCTCTATCTTCTGTTTTTTTCCCTCCTTTTTAGTGGCTTTATGTTGACGATGACAGGTTGTTTGTGTTTGAGTTTGTGTTATTGTCCTGATAAATGTGAGGAGTATTTGCCCAGGAATATGTTATTTCAGATGACGATTCAGCTTATGTTGGTAAAATCATCACCGTTACTTTTGAGAATTGACGATTTCGACTAGAAATTTGTTGCACACTTTCAGGAATTTTCTGATGCTGACATTTTATAACATACGTTTTAAGCTGTTCTGCTTCGTCTTAAGACTGATGAATTTACTTAGAATCGTGGAGGTGTCGATATTATAATGCAAGAACGATTGCCTTTCTTGAAGGTCAAAGCAACGGTTTATGCAATTATGAACACCAAACAACTTCTATCCACAAATCTTGTTTTGGTATCACTTATGCAACAAATGGTGGTTCTTTTATGGAAAGGAAGGGAAAGGGCAAACGAAAAACAATTTGAAATTAAGGGGAAATGGATAGTTATAGAGCTATGCTAAAAACACTGCTACAGTAATCTATTGAGATCTTTAAATGATTCTTTTGCTACTTGTCTCTCTGTTAACTTGGTAGATTGAGATATGTTGAGGCTGGTGTAGCTTCACTTATTATGCGGATAAAGTTTTCAAGTACGATTTCCCTTTCTCTGGATATAACACTTCCATCTACCTGCAGATGAGTACACTACTAGTTTACTACTCGACTATTTTGCTGAAATAATCTGTGTTGCTACTGTTAGAAGACAAAACAAACGAGACCATGCACTATGAAATTAAATGCCTTTTATTCGTTTATGGTTTTCAGGATTTGTCATTACCATTTTCTCTACTATAGTCTTGTACAAGTCAGATGACATTCTCCGAAAACAAACTGCTCTGAAGGTGTGCTTTTTTTTTTTTCTTTTCTTTTTTTTTTTTTTTGGTATTGGGCTAAATTAATTTTGTTAAGCTACTTCTTATCTAAAAAATATCGATTGTGTTTTGCAGGGAGAACGAAAGCTTACTGTTCTAGTTGGCTATTCTGCTTTTTTAGTGCTTCATATATTTGGGATCTACTGGTGTAACTGGAGGGACGATCTTTTCCTTCCATTGCTTATGATTCCTCCAAAGGCAATCCCACCTTTCTGGCATGCCATATTCATCATCCTGGTAAATGGTATGGTATTTTGAGCTGGTTTGCTGCTTTTGTTACTTGGTTCATGTAATTAGCATGATATTTGATTATACAGAAAATAAACTCTCCACGACATGCTTGTTCATAATATCGCATTGTTTTCGAAATAATATAATGTTAGAACTGTAAAGTAGGCTGAAACTGAATATTTTCCATGAGGTGGAGCACAACAAACGTAGTTCACGTATGTCGAAACAGTAAAATGTATGAAAATCTTTGTTAAGATGTAGCCATAGAAACCTTTTGATATGGGATTGAGAAAAAATATTCCTTTCTTCAGCATTGATCTGCTATTTATTTATTTATTTACTCAATATTTTATTTAACTTACAGATATAATGGCGCGGCAAACAACAATGGTCATCAAGTTTTTTCTGTTAATGTATTATAAGAACGGTAAAGGCCACAATTTTCGTAGACAGGTACATATGTGCCCTCGAATTGGTTTATTATAATCTAGAAAACGACGTATGATTCAAATGGTAATATTTTGGTTACGCAGGGCCAAATGTTGACACTGGTTGAGTATACACTTCTTCTTTACCGTGCATTATTGCCAACCCCTGTATGGTATAGATTCTTCTTGAACAAGGAATATGGGAATCTCTTTTCATCACTTACGACTGGATTATATTTAACAGTCAAGCTAACATCAATTGTCGAGAAAGTATGTCAATTAACAGCTTACCTCTTTTTTTCTACTCGTTTGGATTTGTCGATTGGACTTTGACGGGCATAAGCTCTGTGCTGATCTTCAGGTCCAATCTTTAGTTGCCGCATTTAAGGCATTATCTAAGAAGGAAGTTCATTACGGGTCTCATGCGACACCTGAGCAGGTACAATGTTTCTCGTTTGTACTCAAGCTTATATAGGCTCAAAGCTTTAAATATTTTTATTTCACCTTAATATTCCTGAAAAGCATATGTGTATGTCATAACAGGACTTTTCATTTAATTCTGATAGGTAAATGCAGCTGGTGACCTATGTGCAATATGCCAAGAAAAAATGCAGATGCCCATTTTGCTAAGCTGCAAGCATATATTCTGTGAAGACTGTGTTTCCGAATGGTTTGTTTTTCATTTTCACCATTTATTTTCTTTCTACATTTCTCGCTTAGGTTGTGTTTCCATTTCAAAATGTAATTTTTTTATTATTATTTTTGTATATCTATTGCCATTGTTGAATTATCATCATCGTTATTATTATTGTTGATCTTTAATTATTAGTATTATTCAATTCAGAATGAGTTCTTCTTCCTGCAGGTTTGAGAGAGAGAGAACGTGCCCTCTGTGTAGGGCTCTGGTTAGGCCTGCCGATATTAAGTCGTTCGGGGATGGGTCGACTAGTCTTTACTTCCAGTTTTTCTGATCTTCTTACAGTAAACTTTTCGCTCGAACTGAATTTAATAGCATTTTTAAGCCATGCATTGAGAAAATCTCTCTATGGCCAAAATCTGCAAAATGTTTGCCTATATAAAGGTAATTTCAAATAAAAATATTGAAATTGTACTTTTGTTTATTGTTAAATTAGATATATTAAATACTTATATAAAAATAAAACTAAAAAAGGCATTTATATAAAATTTGAAAATATATTTTATTTTTATATAATTAAAAATATATTATTTTTTATATATTAAAAATTTATTACTTTGAAAAATATATTATTAAAAAATATTAGAAATATATTACTTTTATTTTTATATATTTTTAAGAATATATTATTATAAAAAATAATTTTGAAATAAAAAATTGAAAACTTACTTTTATTTATTTTTTAATTAAAAAATAAAAATATATATTATTAAAAATATATTACTTTTTATTTTTATATATTATTAAAAATATATTATTTTTTATATATTAAAAATATATTACTTTTAGGAATATATTATTTATTATATATAATTTAAAAATATATTCTTTTATTTTTATATATTTTCAAATATATATTATTTTTATATATTTTCAAATATATATTATTTTTTATACTTTTAAAAATATATTATTTTTTATATTATTAAAAAATATATTATTTTATTTTTATATGTTATTAAAAACATATTATTTTATTTTTATATGTTATTAAAAAAAGCATTTATATATAATTTATTAAAAATATATTATTTTTTTAAAAAAAGCTTTTATTTATATTTATAATAAAAAATGATAATGTCATTCCATTCAGGTCTTATTCCTTCTGCATACCAAACGCATCAATGACAATACTTGTTTCATTCAATTCCCATAATCATTTCATTCTTCAATTCATTCAATTCCTACGACATTCCATTCCATTATACCAATCAGGACCTAAGTGTTCAACTACCACCAATATGTTCCTTTTTACTACCTATCAAACTATTGGTTTTGCTATGGGGTCATCCGATAACTCGTTTATAGAGTTATCCATAGTTATTTACAAATGTTGTATTGACATGTGTCCTGCAATAAATACACATTGGACACATGTCAGTATATAAAATTATGGATGACTTCATATGGGAGCCATCCGATAGCTCTATTATCTTTAATGTGGACTATTTAATTAAGTCTCGTAAGTACATTATTGTTTTTCCAACATTGATTTTCCGTGTTATGTCACTGGCAAAAATGTTCAAAACGTTTATCAAAAAGTTAAATTTGTTCTAGGTTGGAATATAGGAAAAAATGGTTTATATCTATCATCACTACAAGAAAACACTTCCAATTCCAACAAAAAATTCCAACGGCAAAAATTTTCATTGGAAATTCCAATGAATATTCCAACAAACTTAATTTTATATTGAAATGAGTGTTGGATGGTTGAGGAATTCCAACAGCTGTAGGAATTTATTTCCATAAGATTTTCCGTTGGATTTTAGCTATACCAACAACCATTTTTCCTACGAATTTTTATACGTAGGAATATCCGTTGGAATATAAGAGTTTTTTTGTAGTGCATGCCATTCTACAACAAGTTCAAATAATTTTAGTATAAAGTTTCCACTGTTATTGTCTCATTGAGCCTTGTTAATTACTGGAAAATAAAAGTCAGTTGACAATATATCAGTCATTGTTATTTACTATATCATGTTCTTTGAGGTAAAAATATATGGAGTTTAGGTTTGGTCATTATGGTTTGAGATGCCTTCTTAGTTGGAATGCACCTTGCTAAAGTCCACTCTCTCGTGTAAATGCTAATAAATGATCCAACTTTATATACTAACACTTTGGTGAAGATTTTGTCAAATAAGAGTATATCCAACTTTCTCATTTATATCATGGTTTTAAATAGCGCGCTATAACGGCGCTATAGCGCCGCTATAGCGGCTCAAATCAACTAACGCCAAGCTATTGCTGTTTTTACCGCTATTCGCGCTATTCGCGCTATTTGGCGCTATAGCGGCGCTATTTGGCGCTACTATGCCATAGCGGCGCTATAGCGCGGCCATAGCGGCGCTATAGCGTCGAATAGCGGCCAGAAATGCCCGACGTTATTTTCCATAGCCCGCGATCAAAAACCATGATTTATATTCATTCGGAAAAATTGCACTATTCATCCACTAACTATACTCTTGTTGCACTTTCGTCCTTTAATTGTTTTCGGTTTACAATTGGTACACTAACATTTTATTTTGGTAATTTTAGATGATATTCTGGTGCTCATTTTCGCCGGAATAGCTGATGTGGCGCCTAGTCAGATCGGAATTTCCATTCTCAGTGTGGTGTGGCAGGAGGTGGCGCTTAGTCACATCGGAAAAATTGCACTATTCGTCCACTAACTTTACATTTGTTGCACTTTCGTCCTTTAATTGTTTCTGGTTTACAAAATCAGAAAAATAATAGAAAAATCAAAAGAAAAAGAAAAGGCTTTAAAAAGAAAAAGAAAAAATCAAAAGAAAAAAAAAATAATATAATTTTTTGTTTTAATAAAATCTATTTTTAGTTTAATAAAAAATGAAATATTTAATGATTAAATGAAAACGAAATATTGAATAAAAACGAAATAAATTTGTAATGAGTGAAAAATATTTTTTATTTAATGATTAGGTATTTAATAAGAAAATGAAATATTTAATATAAAACGAAAAATGATTTTTTTATTAAATATTTCATTTTTTATTAAATATTTAACCATTAAATAAAAAATATTTATTAATTATTTATTACTCATGAAATATTTATTTCGTTTTATATTTTTTTATTAAATATTTCTTTTTTATTTATTCATTAACTATTTTGTTGTTTATCTAAATAAAAAAAATATTTTTTCATTGAACAAAAAATGATAAATATTTATTTTTTTATTAAATATTTAATCATTAAATAAAAATATTTATTTCTCACTAAATATTTATTTTGTTTTTCATTTCATTTTTTATTAATTATTTCGTTTTTAATTAAATAAAAAATGTATTTTTATTAAATAAAAAAATAATATTTTTTTTATTTTGTAATAAATCATTAAAAAAATATTTTTTTTATTATTTAATATTCTCTTATTTTTTGTTAATTTTTTTATCCACATGTCTTCACATATGAAATTTAAAGCCTTTTCTATTTCTTTTGATTTTCTTAATATTTTTTTTCTTCTGATTTTGTAAACCGGAAACAACTAAAGGACAAAAGTGCAACAAATGTAAAGTTAGTGGACGAATAGTGCAATTTTTTCTTATTTTGTGCCATGTGTAAAAACAGTTGGGCTCACCTTGTGCTACATCGCGCCGGAGAATGGAAATTCCGATCTGACTGGGCACCACATCAGCTATTCCGGCGAAAATAAGCACCAGAATGTCATTTTGGACTAAAATTACCAAAAAAGAAAAGTTAGTGTATCAATTATAAACCGAAAACAATTAAAGGACGAAAGTGCAACAAGGGTATAATTAGTGGACGAATAGTGCAATTTTTCCTATTCATTCTCATTCAAGTTCAAGTTTTATTGACCATTAATCAAATGTATGACGTTCTCCTCCTATTCATAATAAATGTCGTTTTGAATCTTTTATACTCCCTCATATTCATAATAAGTGTCGTTTTCAGAAGTTGCACGATTATTAAGAATATTTTTGTTGCCAATAATAACCCTCATTAATGAGGATAAAGATGAATGTTTTGAGAAAAGATGAAAAGTGAATATGAAAAGACGTAGTATATTTATTAGCTAGGTGAATATAATAATGGAAAAATATGTACAAAATATCCAAAACGAGATTTATTTTGTTAATAGTTGACAATGTCAAAATGACATTTAAAAAGAATATGAGGTAATACGTATTTTCCCATTGTTACCCTCATTTAAGTAATACGCTGCACATTTGGAGAGAAGTTGTACAATACGATGAGTTTTCTCTCTTAGAAAACTTAAAAGAACGACATTAATCAATGTTAATTTTCTTTAAATGATGCTAATATTGTCAAGAAAAAAATTCTTAATTTATGTGTTAAAACACAAAACGACATAAAAATGATAAGAGGGAGTATTCTTTTTTATTTTTATTATTTTTAATAGTTTTAATGCCAAATATAACATAATAAAATTATTTGGTTATCTAAAGTTGTATATGAGGTGATAGAATATGCGATCGTTATGTTATGTATTTTTTAATTTTAACGAAACTATTACTAATACCCATGTACAATATGGGTGTTGAGTTAATGGATATATGTGTAAAGTTATTTATGTCTAATACCAAACTTAACTCCAGAGCAAAAAATAACATAAAAACAAATATAGATTTTCACCATGTCAGCATCCGAAGCGTGAGAATCTGCCACCTAGCTCAAAACGTTTTGAATTAATATATAGGGAGGGATGTGCATCTAGTTATTTATTTATTTTTTTATGTATCTTATTCCATATAAATATATTTTTCCAAAATAAGGTTTGGTATATAACTCTAAAATTAAATTATAAATTTCTTTACATTAACTATGGGAATGATCTCCTATAATATTATGAAGATTTTTTGTACTAACATTTTTTCTTTTAGACATAAAAAAAAAAAGAGAGAATAAACTTCAAATACATGAGATATATTAATAATGTGTTTTTGTTTCGAACTTGCAAGACAAACAAAGTCAACAAGCTTAGCCCACTATTCAATAAACCACACACTCAAAATCCATAGATCACTTCACACGCATCTGTCCTGCTTATGAGTATGTACTGCTGTGTATTAATCAACAATGAATAATCTATTAACTGCCGTGTAATCTATATATATATAATTGCTAGCATATGAGCATTAAATTAAACCTATTAAATTATACCTATGTGGCAATATAGCTTTTCCCTCAAAAAACCGTTACTTTTTATTTATTTAACCTCTCATTTAGTTATTAGATAATCAACAAACTAATCACTTCAAAATGCAAAAATAATTA